CGCCCGCGCTCTACCACCGCTGGTTTGGCGTCGCTCGCGTCATCGGCCACGACTTCCGCGACCCCGGGAAGATGGCGGACGGGATCGAGTCCACGTTGCGTCCTGCGGCCGTGCAGAGCAGCCCTCGCGCGATTTGGCTACGGTATGGCGGTGGCGCTGTCTTGGCAAGATCTGAGCAGCTTCGGTTCGGAAAGGAAGACGAGCTGATCACCTGGAACCCCATGCCTGCGGACCAGCGAGGAGCAGCACTCCCGCGAGGCCCTCACGGGTTTCTGGGCGCACGTCGCGAAGGTCTCGAGGGTGGGGCGTCCGAAGACCCCGAAGCTACTGCGCTACCAAAGGGAGCGCCTACAACGGCGTCTATGGACACTGCGGCCAGCCCGCGCCCGGGACCCTCGGCGTCGAGGGCCGCGGGGGCATCGACGGCCACGGCGCCCCATGCGGCGGGGGCCGAGGCTGCGGCCCTGCCGCGGGATGGGCGCGAAGCGGCGCCCGTCCGGCTCCGACAGGGAGAAGACCTCACTCCTGGAGCCCCCGATCTCGAGTGTGTAGCTGAGGCCCCCGAACCAGTCCAGCATCACGAGCGGGGCCCAGCTCGGACCGAATCTGACCCAGTTGTTCGTGACGTCGACGGGGGAGAAGGGGAGAAAATGAATCAGGACGTCGAGCCCACCATCGCCCCGCCTCCTCCTGAACTACCCGATCCACCTGAAGGCATACCTGGTTACGGGCCGCAGCGGTTCCGAATCCGACATTTCCGTGACGGCGGCCCCATGGCCAGCGGATCGTATTTTCTCGAGCTCGACGCGGATACGGTCTCGTGGTCCCCGCCCCCCCTTGTGACGTAACGCTCCACCCCTTCAGTGCGCTCCGGGCACTGCCGCCGTGCGCATTGGAATCCGCGTAGGAATCCGCATAGGACTCTGGTCCGCAGTCGTCGTCGTCGTTGTCGTCGTCTTCGTCGTCGCTCGTGTCTTGTCGCTCGTCGTTCATAGTCGTCGTGCGCGCGGACGCGGTTGAAGTTTTTTTTTGCAGTTACAAAATATCCGGGCCGATGACGGCAACCATCTAGGAGGGGTGGAGGGGGTCGATGACGTCACGTTTCGTGTCGGCGGCGTCTGGGAATGCTTAGGAATGACGGAGAACGGGTCGCGCCAGCATGCAGGCTGCGATTTGCACCACAACGCACATGTACACCACAGTGCCTGCGTGCACCACGGCGCCTGAGTACACCACGCCCCTTATGTACACCACAGCAGCCGCGTGCAACACAGCGTCAGTTTGTGCTACCGTGCCCGCGGGAACAACAGTTCTTGTGCACACCACAGCGCTTACGTACACCACATCAGCCGTGTGCAACACAGCACCAGTCTACACCACAATGCCTGCGTGCATTGCAGTGCCTGTGTGCACCACGGCGCCTGCGTGCACCACAGCAACCGTGTGCAACACAGCCCCATTGTTGCATATAGAATGTTAGAACGAATCCGTCTGACAAAATAGAGCCCTTGTGGGTTCCACAGGAAACAGTACAACCAAACATTTATGGACAACGGAGCGCCGCTGGTATTTATGAGTCCTCCAGAGTCCGCCCGCATCACCCAAACTCCTCCCATTTGCGTCCACGAGGCTCCAGCTAAATTTGCCGTCCGAAAACCAAATGGACCGATTAAATCGACCACTTTGCGGTGCGCGCAGAGATGCGCACGTGCGCTGCAGCGACAACCCGCAAGACAGAGGGGATGAGTATCAGGAGGAGGAGGAGGAGGAGGAGGAGGAGGAGGAGGAGGAGGAAGAGGACGAGGAGGAAGAGGACGAGGAGGAGGAGGAGAAAAGGGGTGGTGGAGGTGGAGGAGGAGGGAGGAGGAGGGAGGAGGGAATAACGTCGCATTCGATGAACAGCACTTTCTTGGCGTGGCGCTTGGTTGTCCGCAGCAAATCCTCACGTACATGCTTCTTCTACCTGTCTTATGCACGCAGGCATTGTGGTGCACACCAGCGCTGCGTTGCACGCGGATGCTGTGGTGTAGACGCGCGCTGTGGCATAGGCGCCGCGGTGCACGCAAGCATTGTGGTGTAGACAGGCGCTGGGTTGCACATGGCAGCTGCGGTGTACACGTGTACACCGGCGCTGTACTGTGCGCAAGCACTGTGGTGTACACAGGCGCCGCGCTGCACACAGTTGTTGCGGTGTACGCGGGCGTTGTGGTATACACGCGCGGCGTTTTGCACGCGAGCGCTGCGGCGCACACAGGCGCAATGGGGCATATCGCCACCAACATGTTGCTCGCGTCGTCGTCGTCGTCGTCGTCGTCATCGTCGTCGTCAGTCGTCGCTCGTCGCTCGTCGCGCGAGCGCGAGCGCGGCTGTGGTGCCGGAGCCACACGGCCCCCGACGTCATACCCCCCCTCCCCCCCACCCCATGACGCCCATCATGGCCGAACATGAGGAAACGCGCTCTTACTGGACGGTCGAGTGGTAACGAGAACAACCTGATGGACCTGGCCAAGACGGAGCGGAAGGAATTCGACGCGAACATGGCTAAGGAGTGGGAGAATTGGCGTAATCTCAGGGCGGTGGCCGTAGTTGCGGGGAACAGCGCGACGGAGTTTTTCACCAAGGAAAAGCCGATTCCGAAATGGGTCCATACCAACAAAAACGAGTACGATTCGAAGTTGCCTCGCCAGGCGAAGTCGAGGTTGGTGGCGGCCGGCTGCTACGAGCCGGTGCGTGTTCGGACGGTTCGCCGACATTTTCCCTCCTGGTGTCCCACATGATCTGCAGCACTGCGGCCAGGAAGTACCGGCCACTATCTAAGCTCGGCGCGACGAGTGCCTACTTGCAAAAAGACGACGTTGAATGCTGGTGCTGCGGCCACCCTCCCCGTTACCCCCTGGAGTCCTCCCTGGCTCGCTACTCGCGCGCCACGGCGCAATCTTCGGCACCAAGGATGCTGGGCGCAAATGGTGGCGGAAGCTACGGAGAACAATGCGCGGCAACTCTTGGGCAGGAGAGCCTTCTGGCGAGAGCCTATTTTGTTGTTGTTCGAGAAGGAGACCCTCGTCGGCTTTATCGGTACGTACGTGGACGATTTCTTTGCGGCTGGAGATCGGGACAGCAAACTCTACGTGGCCACGATGGGGGAGGTAAGGGAGGTGCTATTGTTGACGGCGGAAAAGCCCCTGTTTAAAGTTATTGTGGCAAGGACCTGGGGCAGGATATGGGCTACCCGATCCGTGTGTCGATGCGACACTTCGTTGAACACATGGAGGAGTTGCCGTTGGCACCGGCGAGGAAGACGCAGGTCAAGTCACAGGCTACGGACGACGAGAACAGTTTTGCGGAGTCGGTGATCGGCCCCCTGGGATGGCTTTCCCGACAGTTACGGATGGACATTTCATTCGGATGCAGTTGGCTCGTTCAGCAGAAGAACAGCGCTACGGTGCAGGACCTCCTGGAGATGAGCAAGTTGGTACGGCACCGCCGCGAGAGGAAGGATGTGAGCTTATTCTTCCGGAGCGATTTCATTAAGGAGCCCGACAACCGCGGGTGCGTGTTCGCGGATAGCAGCTTGAACAACGCCGACGAGCTGACGATGGGCCCCCTCGGCGAGAAGGTGGAATCCCAGCTTGGGATAGTGTGCCTACTGTGCGACGTGTTTATACAAGGATGGTGGTGGCCCAGTCTATTCCCTCGATTGGGGGAGCTCGAAGGTCCGACGCGTGCGTAGAGTTTCGATGGCTGCCGAGGCCCACGGACTCACTGAAGGTGTGGAAGCTGTGGGCTGGATGCGTGCGCTGTACTTCGAGATGGAGAAGCCGAGCCAGCCGATCATGGAGCTGGTTCATGACGTGGCCAAGCTTATGCCGGTGAAGTGGTATGACGATGCCAACTGTCTGGTCAGCCACCTCGTTGCGGACGCTCGGCAGGTCGCCGATCGTCGAGGTCGAGCGGCTACAGCTGCGCTGCGGGAGCTGCTTGGCCAAGATGGAGTCGACCTGGAGTGGTGCGATACGAGTGTGCAGCCAGCCGGTGCGCTGACCAAGCTCAAGGCCGAGAGGAGTTACCTCACGGACGCGATGCAGATAGGTTTCGTGACGCAGAAGGTTTCCGACGAGGCGGCCGCGCCCAAGGAGGCCATCCGTGCCGCACGGCGCCGCCGTGCAGATGAGCGTAGGAGTTAGGCCAGTACCCGAGTAGATGACTAGCAATTTCCATATGCAGCCCCTTTCGGGCCATTCTCCGGTTAATGAAGATTGGCTTGTTGCCGCATTTCGGTGACAGCGAGGGCGGGTGTTGAAATCCTAAGGGGTAGGCTAAGCTGTCAGCACGTTTCGTCACTGCTGCTGCCGTCATCTGTCTCGCCGCTGCCGTTTCGACTCGAAGAGCTCTTGCGCACACGGGCAAAAGACTTTTGTATTCGAGCGGGCGGCAGCCCGCCAATTGAGGGGGTCACCAGCTTCTCGGGGTCATCGAGATTCCTGGATCGAAGCTCGAGGAGGTGTTCGGACGTATGAGCCGTTTTTGGAAGGTTCTGCAGTGTTTTCGGGGGCCCACCTCCTCGAGGGAATGGCGCTTCGTCGAGGAAATGTCGACCCCCCCAGTGGTGACCCCCCTTGGCATTGCCCCAGGGGGGTGATTGCGGCAGGTTTGCGCGGTATCGACCCAGCGGGCGCCCCTGTTGGTCCCTAGGGGGCCCGTTCTGGGGCGCCTTATAGGGCCCCCTAGGGTGCGCAAAAGGTGCACTTTCCTCGCCCCCCCCTCTATCCTCTCCCATGATGCATCATCCCGACAGTTGCCCGAGATGTTCCGTCGTGATGGCGCGAGAGGGGGTCTGGGTCTGGGAAGCACATCTCGACCCCTGGGCGTATCCAGGATGGGGTGTTGGCCAGTATTTCGAAGGGGAGCCCAGACGCGGCGACGAGAGGCCTCCCGGAGCAGCAGAAGGGACGAAGCGCCTCCGAGCGACTGGGTCCTCGATCCTCGAGGGGAGGGCGGAGGCGACGACAAGTTCTTCCACTTCGTTGGCGCCTTTTGCCGCGACAGGCCCAGTGCGAGGCGGGGTTTGGTCCAGAACCACCGCCTGGGGGGTCGATTTTCGGGGGCCTCGGCAGGCGGCGGGTGCGGCCATGCATGCCCCCCCCCCTCTGAAGGCCCGAGCCTATCCACATCCGCCGCCTGCCAAGGCCCGAAGACGAATCCCCAAGGCTTTGGCCATGGATGTGCGGTCGGACCGAAGTAGAAAATCGAGGTCGGTTTGGGGAGGGTTCCTGCTGGCTGTTATTGTGCATCCTGGGGGGGTTACCCTCGAGTGCTCTTATGATATGGGGTGTGTTGGCCGGCGGATGAGCTCATGTTATTGATCAATGTTTTCCTGTCCTAGGTCCGACCGTATACTGACTTCCGCCGATTTGCGTTTCTTCAAGTCGCGGCCCCGGAGGTCTCGACCGCTTGCCCGGGTCTTGTGTTTCGCCCCGGACCCGCTTGTGATGGTTTCGGAGCCCGATGATGGGCCCAGGAGGCTCAAACCAAAGGAGAGCGCCCGAATTGAACAAACATGTCGTCGGAAGTTTGGGCAAAAATGCACCGAGACCGCTACTCACCAGAACTTTCCGGTGGTGCGCTCTGACCAGAGTCTCCAGCATAGTCCAGCCGTTGAGACCACGCTGCCCACTCTTATATCTCGGCTTCCTTGCTTTGTATTCCTTCCATGGAGCGGCTGGTGCTCAGCATGGTGGATTCCCTTTTTCCTCGTTGGGAAGCTGGCCATTTTCATCATCGACGCAATGATTGCCTGTGGTGGAAAATAGCATCCAGCCGTAGCGACGAATGCGGTAGCAAATCATGTGAGGCTTGCATGTCCCCGCAATTCCGTCTTTAGAGTACTCCACGTGCATTGGCGTGGCGTCGGATAGCGTCGATACGCAAGAGCCAGCAAGATGGCAAGGGAGGCTCCCATGAGTTGTCACCGAAGACGAGGGATCTTCTAGACGAGCAGCGGCATCGGAACCTTGACATCCCACCCCCGCCTCGAGCCCCAGCGCCTTCGGCAGCCTCCGCGACGTGGCGCTGCTGGCGTCGGCGCTCATGAAGCGGGCGGACCCGGCCTCCGCGGCGGGCCCGCGGCTGGACCGCGCCAGCGCCCTCCACGGCCCTCCGGGCAGGAACAATACGTTACCCAGCTGCCCTGGCAGGCCCGTTTTGAAACGCGACGCGTGCAGTGCTCAACACGTCCGTGTCAACACGCTGCGTGTTGGCTCGGCATGTATTGGCCCACGTGTTGGCGAACGTCTCGCGCAAAACGCACGTTTTCAATCTGTGTGTTGCGCTACGTGTCAATGCGCGACGGGTTGCGTGTTGAGTATCGGGGCGGCTTAGAAGCGTCAAGACGCTCGTTTCGGGGCCATTCGTGGTTTGAGCCGGCTGGGGGTCTGAGGTAGCCTAGCACTGGTTCCGGCGAGCAGGAAGCAGGGGGGGAGGTTCGTGGATTTGGATTCGTGAAGGTTTTTGGCCTTCTTCAGCCTCGGGGGCCGTTGTTGGGACACGGGACTGTCACAAACGGATCCTGGGTGAAACTTTGCACCAGATGGACCCCGGGAATGGTCCGGAGTCCGGGGACCGATTTTGAACGGATTTGGCTTGATCCTCTCTCTTGCCTTTTTTTTCGAGCCCATCCAGCTCAGACCTCCTGGCCGCCTTCAAGTTCCTGGGGCACGCTGAACGGATCTGTTTGACCTTGCGGTTGGCGTCGGACAGAGTGCGTTGAGGCGCCGCCAGCCCACTCACTGCACGCTTTCCCCGACCTTGGGGATAGCGTGCACTGAAGAGGCCCTGGGCCCTTGGGCGGGGACCCCGCGTATACGGGCCCCGCGTCCACATGCGAAAAGTATCCGTGCGATCGCGTATCCGCGGGATCGCGCTCTGGAATCCAGTCCGCGAGGACGCGGATACGGGTAACCGTGATCTGTTTGTAGTTTTGGGTTCCCCCCTGTTTCTTTCGGTGGGGAATACATTCGGCCCTTCTTCCTCCTCGTCCTCTCCTCCTCCTCCTCCTCCTCCTCCTCCTCCTCCTCCTCCTCCTCCTCCTCCTCCTAGTCGCAATCGTGGTCGTTGTCGTCGTCGTCGTCTTCGTCGTCGTGGTCGTCGTCGTTGTTGCGCGGCGGGTGCCGCGGGTGAATAATCATTTTCCGCTAGTTATTGTTGGGGTCCCAGTCCGTCAAGAAGGTCGCCGAGCAAATAATTGGTTTCCACTGGGGGGGGGTTAAATACCCATTTCGGTTGTTGTCGCCGCTCGTGAATCCAGGAGAATCGATAGTTGGTGGGGGTCCTGTTCGGAGCTCCCCACCTAAGGGAGGCGCGCGCGGGCGCGCGCGCACGCGGGAACGCCCGCGCCGCGCGAGAGGCCTGGCCGTCGCCGCGATGCCGCACCTCAGGCGCGCCGCCGCGGGCGACGCGCAGCCCTGCGTGCGCGACGCGTCGGAGCTTGGAGGAGCTAAAGGTATCCATACCGCCACCCTTTCGCGTCGGAGCTCCTGTCGAAGAAGAACATAACATACATGAACATAAATTGTCGGAGCTCCGCGCGGAGTTCTCGAATCGGCGCTGGACCCCGCCGATTACCGATACCGCCACTTTGCCACTTTTCGTTTTTGGGGGCCTCCTGAAAGGCCCTCAGCGCAAACGCAGGATTAGCCCCGAAATTTTGGTAAGGACGCGCCCCGGGAGGGATCTGTGGAGTAGCGGTACCAGTTCCGTTCGGTTTCTCCAGGAGTTCTTGTACGCCGTCGCGCACGTGCTTGACCGCAGGCGGGCATTGGCTGCGGAGCTCTTGTCGAAGAAGAACCAGTTTGCGTAAACACCTGTTCGGAGTTCCGCGCGGATTTCTTGGATCGGCGCTGGAGCCCCTTGGCGGCGCCTCTGGCGCCTCCAGCGCCGCGCCTGGCACGCTGCGCGCGCCAGGGGTTCCAGTGCCGATCCGAGAAGTCCACGCGGAGCTCCGAAAGGTTACGTTTTTACAGTTTTTCAAGAAGGGGGTGATGGATGTCTTCGCCGGGACCATGATATCTGCCAGATTTCATGGCCCCCTCTTTTTCTTGAAATCGGTTCCCTGGCCCCCATGCGTCGTCTGCGCACATACCTCGGGTCATGATTTGCTACCCCTCTCTTCCACGCTTCCCTTTTGGACGCCCCCAGAATAACAAACCAGAGCGCGGAATATACACGACTGGTGGGATCCGCGATTCCGTGGAGACCTCCGAGAATGGAGACCGCTGCAAGGTTGAACTGTTCACCTGGTGCCACACGTCAACGTCCGCGCCTTCCACCCCGGTCACTTTCTCGAGCCACGTGCGGCCGTGGTCGCGATGCGCCCCCATAAGTCCGTGAAAGAGAGAGAGAGAGAGAGAGAAACAGAGAGACATATCTGTGTATATATATATTTATATATATATATTATGTATATCGGAGGTTGGGGGGTGAGATCGCAGTGAAACGGAGACCCTCCACCGGGAAATCGGTTTCGGTTTCGGTTTCGTGTTCGTGTCGTGCGTGCGGGCGAGGCGAAGCTGCGCGTGATCCTCCTGTAGCTAGGCCGAAGTAGAGCGAAACTCCGTCCGCCCAGCAGCCGGTGGCCGGTTGGGCCGGGCGGTGTCCCAGGTGTCCCGTGGTGGCCCGTGGTATCCAGGGCCAGGCGTTGTCCCGTGGTGTCCCGTGGTGGCCGGTGGTGGGCCGGGCGGTGTTTTGTGGTGTCCCGTGGTGGCCCGTGGTGTCCCGTGGTGTCGATAGTGAGATCGATAGTGAGATCAATAGTGAGATCGATACTGAGATCGATACTGAGATCGATGTGGTGCCCCGAGGTGTCCCGTGGTGTCCCAAAAAATGAGATCGATAGTGAGATCGATAGTGAGATCGATAGTGAGATCGACAAGTGTCCGTGGTGTCCCGTGGTGTCCCGTTGAGTGAGGTCGATAGTGAGAGCGATGTGGTGTCCCGAGGTTTCCCGTGGTGTCCCGTGGTGCCCCGTGGTGTCCTATGGTGTCCCGTTGAGTAAGATCGACAGTGAGATCGATAGTGAACCGACAGTGACATCGACAGGTGTCCCGCGGTGTCCCGTGATGTCCCGAGGTGTCCCGTGGTGTCCCAAAAAATGAGATCGATAGTGAGATCGATAGTGAGATCGATAGTGAGATCGACAAGTGTCCGTGGTGTCCCGTGGTGTCCCGTTGAGTGAGGTCGATAGTGAGAGCGATGTGGTGTCCCGAGGTTTCCCGTGGTGTCCCGTGGTGCCCCGTGGTGTCCTATGGTGTCCCGTTGAGTAAGATCGACAGTGAGATCGATAGTGAAACCGACAGTGAGATCGACAGGTGTCCCGCGGTGTCCCGTGATGTCCCGTGGTGGCCCGTGGTGGCCCGTGGTGTCCCGTTGAGTGAGATCGATAGTGAGATCGACAAGTGTCCCGTGGTGTCCCGCGGTGCCCAGTGGTGTACCGTTGAGTGAGATCGATAGTGAGATCGACAAGTGACCCGTGGTGTCCCGTGGTGCCCAGTTGTGTCCCATGGTGTCCCGTTGAGTGAGATCGATAGTGAGATCGATTGAGTCAGACGTTGATTCCTCCCACTCTCCCCCCCACAACCTCCTTATCACCCGAAGGGTGGTCGTATAGATGTATATATATAATCACACGTGACCGATTTGCTACCAGATCTCCGACGAACTGATTAGTTCAGCCTGTTTTCCCCCGAGTTGGGCCTCCGTGGCAAGTTGCTGGGCCCCAGAGGCATCACCAGTGGAGCCAGGGAAGTGGTCGGGACTCCTGGGGCTGCGCGTTGAACAAACCATTTCGGAGGATGCCTTCGCTTGCTCCTCAAGCCTCCGATGTCGCGACTTCTTGAGTTTGGTGGCCCGCCCCGATCCATTCTAGGCACCCGCTCGTGTCCTGCATCGTTTCCTTTTGGCCCGGGAATCCGAAAGCGGCTCCCAGATGCTGGGAGTTCTGACGAACTTTATGCTTTGATTTTGCCCAAGGCGTTGAAGGTCCGGGGGTCACAGGGGCGGCGCACGATACCCAACACAGCGGCAGCTGTGACATTTCAGATGGCGCGGAACAGCGTCCAATCTAGCGATATCTGGCCAGGCCGAACCAGCCAGATCTCGCTGTGGCGGGTGGGGCGCTGTTCGGTGAGCGCGGCGGTCTTTGGCGGGTGGGGCGGTGGTTGATGGCAACGGCCCCCGAACCTGCCCCTGAGGTGCGTTCTGACCAGGATTGTGGAGGGGATCCAGCCTTGGCTACGAGGGCCCCCCAGGAGGCGCACTGCTCAGCTCGCGATCCTCGAGAAGACCTTCGGCAAGATGGGCGGACAGCCGCGACGACGACAAGCGACGAACACGGCGACAGCCGACGACAACGACGACGACGACCAAGACGAGCGTCGACGACGGGCAACAACACCGAAGAACGGCGCCAAGTTCGAGGAGACGAAACAGCTCCGCCTTGCGTCCGCTCGCGGGCATTTCAAAAAAAGCGGGGCTGGGCGCCCGAAGCAGACGCGGGCGTCGCCTTGAAGGAAAGATGCCATGAGGGAAACGAGTCCAGTTTTTATACTTTTGGATTCCCTGGGCCCGTCCACGAGCCCCCAGGGCTGTCAGAGCACGATTCAGGCTGAAAAGTTAGCCATGGGGGAGCGCAGTAGAACAACAAATTGAACAACCATGTACTTTCGGAAGTCTGCGCGGATGCCGTGTATCAGCGCTAGACCCCCCTCCATGGCGTGCAGAGTGCGCCAGGAGCGGCGCTGGCGCTGCCAAGGGGGTCCAGCGCCGTTCCAGGATGCGGGATCCAGGCTCGTTTCCATCAGGACGTTCCATGGGCGCTGCAACAAACATATTGCCATCACAACGGCTGTCTAAAAAGTTTCACCTCTACTGGCCTCGCCACTGCGGGGAAGGTGACTCCACCATGCGAAGCACAAGCCAGGGAGGAAACAAGGAGGAAACAAGGAGGAGGGGGAGGAGGAGGAGGAGGACGTACGATGCTCCCCGCCCGCGGAGAGAGAACAGGATCATTCTTTGGAGGAGGAGGAGGAGGAGGAGGAGAAACAGGAGGAACCAAAAAGGAAGGACTGAGGAGGAGGAGGAGGAGGAGGAGGAGGGCGAAGAGGAGGCTCTTCCCCTCACGCCCATTGAGGTGGGCGGACAGCGGCGAGCCACTGCACCGAAGCCCCGCCGTCTCCGAGGCCATCTCCGCCAGCGTGGCTTTGGCGCGCCGGTGCTCCCCGCCAGCTTGTCGTCGTTGTCGTCTTCGGCCTCGTTTTTGGTGTGATTCTGCACGACGCGAGGAGGTCTTGGCCTTTCCTCCTACATATCAGGGCGCTGGAGTATGACCACCTCGGGCTCAGGGGTGGCTCTGGTCCCTGGGCCGCTCCTTGGATCTATGTCATAGGGCCTTCTTTGCGGCCGAAGCTCGCCGTGGCCAGGAAAATCCTTTCATTCTCTACCTGGCGTTCCTGACGATCCCACGATGGCTGTACCTCGCGGCGCGCCAGGTGCCTCCACCGCGCCTGTCCGCAGACCATCTCGAAGCTGGCGGGCGCCGTTGCGGCCGCGTGGGCGCCGATGAGCTGGCTGCGGGTGTCCACCCTGCAGCCCTTCATCGCAGACCTCGCGCAGGCCCCCTTGTTGAGAGGGAGGAGGAGAAGGCGAAAGATGAGGGAGAGGAACATAGAGGCGGAGCAGGAGAAAGAGGAGGAGGAGGAGGAGGGAAATATGGAAGATGAGAAGGAGGAAGAGAGAAGGGGGGGGATGAACATGAGAAGGAGGCGGATGAGGTCCAAAGTGAACTCGAGATTCATCAGCGATGTTGGAATACACACTCCCTCCAAGCTCCCTCTTCATAGGCCCCTACAGAGGTTCATGTCCACCGAGGGAAGCGCCCCAGTGGGGGACAACCGTGTGAGAATCTTGACGCGTGCCAAAGCACCAATTTCAGGACAACAACGCCACGAGTCACCCTGAGTGTTGCGTCTTGGCGATCCCGAAGCACTCGAGCACGCCATTCCTGGGACTTCAATGCCGCGAATCAGCGGAATTGTGTCTTCCTGACATTCTTGAATCGTTTCAAAACACCATTGCTGGTTTGTGAACCATAAGGGCAAGTGTTGAAACGAATGTGCGCGGCGCTAAGGCGAGAACCACATTTTGAAAATGAGCCACTCCCAATCCATGAAATTCATGCAGATGTTCAAACGAATGTGCGCGGCGCTAAGGCGAGAGCCGCGTTTTCAAAAAGGAGCCGTTCTCAAGTCGTTATCCATTTCAGATATTTCAGAACAAGGTGCGCTGCGCCAAGGCGAGAGCCGCATTTTGAAAACGGCCCGCCCTCAATCCGTGAGGCTCTTGCGAAGTTTGAAAAATCATGTGCGCGGCGCTTCTGATTCACGTTTCGAACACTAACCGGAGTCAATCCATGAAGTACGCGCAAATGTTTCACAATAGTGTGCGCGGCACTAAGGCGAGAGCCAGATTTTGGAAGCGAACCTCCCCCCATTTCTGAAACTGTTGTCAGCTTGTAAGCTGTAGGTTCGTAAATGGTGAGTCAGTCGCAGGCGAAACGCCCCGCCCGCCCGTCCGACTGGCTTCGGGGTGCGTCAGGCAAGTGTTATTCATAAGGGAATGGGATGGTGGAGGAGGAGGAGAAGAATGTGGAGGAGGAGGAGGAGGACGAGGAAGAAGAGCAGGAGGAGGAGCAGGAGGAGAAGGAGGTTTTTTTGTAGCATCGCGGCATCCACCCACTGGCGGCATTGAGGTCCCTACGCAATCCCACAGGACCGGCCAGGGAGTGCCGGGGGGCCACGGCGAGCCAGGGCACGCGCGGTCATTGGAGTAGAGGAAGAGGACGAGGCGGAGGGAACGGAGGAGGGTAGCTGCTCACGCTCGCCGAGCGGCGCACAGCCGCGCCTGTGACAACACTGCACGTCCCAGTCTTGGACGTCAGGTTCACTCTGCTGTCCACTGTGCTGCCGCACGTCGTGCTGTTTTCCACCGTCACCCGTCGTGCTGCTCACAGTCGTGCCGCTGGCCCTCTGCTTCTGACCACGATGCTGCTGGGCGTCGGGCCGCTGATCGCAACCGCGCTGCTCACAGGCTCGCTGTTCGCTACGCAGGAGGAGAATGAGGAGCAGGAGGAGGAGGAGGAGGTGTTGGAGGAGGAGGGAAGGACTCACCCAGATCTCCTCGCGGTCACGGCAGGCTTTTGGTTTTGCTCTGTTCAGCGGCCTTTCCCGGAGTCCGATTTCATATTTCGCAGCCATCCTGTAGTTGTGGGTCCTCATTTCGAAGACTGCACCCCGCGGTTCACTCCCATCTTTCGCTGCCCTTTCCTCCCTCCCCCTCCTCCCATCCGTGCCTCTGCTCTCTTTTTGTCCCACCGCCATCATCATCAGAGTTAGCATCATCATCATCACCACCATCATCATCAACAATTACATCATCACCTTCACTATCATCACCACCAGCATCATCATCAGCATACTCATCCTCATCAGCATTTCGCCGCCGCGGGATCGATGTCGCCCATCGCTCGCGCGTGCTTTGCCGTCGCTTCCGAAGCTAAGAGGAGTATTGTTCGCTGTCTCGGAAAGCTAGCTTTCTCTAGTTTTTCTATTTCACATTGCCGTCTTGATCCTCAACAGGCCATGCGGTGTCACACATGTTGTGGGTGGCGGGTGGCTGTGTGGCCGTCGCCGATTCGTGAATGATTGAACGGCCGATTGCTGAGTGAGACGGGGGCTCGGAGGCCTGCTCTAAATGGATTTAACCGTTGCGTTCCTATCGCCCGCGTCGCGCCGTTGCTGGAAAACCCCCACTGCGTTAGTCGCCAATAAGCGCTGGACGCACACTTCGACATCTGTTGCGAGATCAGAGTGGGCGCAGCAGATTGCGAAGCACATGTGCGCAACACCTTCGCGCAAGAGCAGCATCCTAGGCTTTCTGTGTTCATCGATGCGTTCCTGAAGCGCGACCCCGAAGGGATAATTTCGCAGCGCCCGCCCAGTGCAGACTTTCGTGGCCCCATAGAGAGCTCCACCGAAGGCCTCAGTGGCGGCGTTCCCATGCGTTTCCCCCCCCCCCCCCCTCAGCACAGCTCTTCGGGGCCCTACAGGGAACCCCACCGAAAGCTCCAGTGGCGTATTCCGCATGCGTCTCCCGCGTCCATCGCAGCGTTTTGTGGTCCGACAATGAGTTCCACCAAAGACCCCAGTGGCGGTGTCCGCATGCGTCGCTCCCACCCAGCACAGCGCTTCCTAGACTCATAGGGAGCTCCACCGCAGGCCTCCGTAGAGGCCTCGCCCCATTGCGGCGCGCCCTTCACACGGTTCGCGGCCCCATATTGGGTTCCACAGAAAGCCCCAGAGGCAGCGCCCAAATGGCGGCCCCGCTCCATACTGCGCACCGTTCGCATGATTCATGGCTCCATGAGGAGATCCCCCGAAGACGATACCCGCAACGACGGTATTCACAAATACGTATGGTCGGGTCTTTCGCCGAGATAGATGTTCTCCTTGCGCCTCTGCCTATTCCTCGTCTCCCTGCTCCGCCTACTGTGTTCCCTGCTCCTCCTCCTCATCCTCCTCCTCATCCTCTTCCTGCTCCTCCTCCTCCTCCTCCTCCTCCTCCTCCTTTTGTCCTCCTTCGAGTTTTCTTGTCATCCTCTTCGCCCATCGTGCAGGCCGTGCGGTTCCGGCACCCCGATTTCAACGCCAAGGACGTCGCGTCGATCGTCGTGGCCTTCGCCAAGCTGGACGTTGTCGACGACGTGGTCGCGGAGGTCATGCCAGAGCAGGTTGAGGCCAGAGCCTCGGAGTTTCTGGACAAGGACATCACGACATTATCATGCTTCCCCCTTTCCTTCTCGGTGCCCCTCACCCTTCACTCCTCTGCCCCTTTTCGGCCCTCCGCCTCGTCGTCCTCCTCCTCCTCCTCCTCCTTCGTCTCCTCTTCCCTCTCGAGCTCCGCCATCCATGGCTTCCCTCCTGTTCCTCATCCTAGCTTTTCCCTCCTCCTCCTCCTCCTCGCCCTCCCGTTTCCTACTTAGTCATTGCATCGTTGTTCGTCCTCCTTCTCCTCCTCGTCCTCCTCCTCCTCCTTCTCTCCCGCTCTTCTCCTTCGCGCCCACAAGCGTCGCTTCGCGAGGTTATTCCCTAGTCCAGGGCTGCCGCTGCCGATGCTTGCGCCCACTCTTCATCGCCATAATCGGTCTGCCCTACCTCCATCCTCCATTCCTTCTCCTCCTCTCCCACACTCTGCCCAGAGCTCGCTAAGATGTTCTACCCATCCTGAGGTCTTCCAATTGAGCAACGTTGATCTCCCGAGACCGCGCGGGACTCTTCCGAAGCTTATTTTTCTCCCTCTCGTCTCAGTCATTTGTATCTGTCTTTTTCTTTCATGTTCCTCCTCATAGTCCCTTCTCCCCAGTCCTTGCCATACTCGATCTTTCTAAGCCCCAGCACCCCCTCCACCCCCTTCAAACTTTCTAGAATACTGTAGAGAACGATCCCAATGCACCCTGGAACGCCTAAAGCATAGTATATCCCTCCTGCTCCGTCCACTTTCCAGTTTGTCTACTCTTCTTGATGATCCATCTCCGTCTTCCCTTTCTTCCCTCCTCCCCATTCCTCTTCTCCGTGCCTTCCTTGAACATCATTGACAGTCCGAGCCCCCCTGATGAGTACCCAAGAGCGACTTCAGTGCAGGGTCAAGCCAAGACCCCTCGTCCCGAAAAGGGGAATCCAGAGATGCCCTGGCCAATCTGGGATATATCGTGAAAGCTCCAACGCGAGTCGAAAGACAGCTCAAGTCGCTACGGCCAAGAATGTCTACTTGTCGTGTCGTGCCGCCGATTCTGGCTCAGCACACATTGGCTCGACACGCTCACCACGGCCCCTTGCCCAGCCCCTCGCCCCTCGCGCAGCGGACCGACGCGCTGCCGGCTCGCGAGGAATGGCGTGTCGCAGGGGCCGCCGCCGCGACACGCGAAGCTAAAGTTCCTGGCCGTCCGTCGCTTGCCTCTGAGGGTGCAGGTCCTGGGGTATCCCATTCACCATCGGAGCCGTCATACCCGTGGTCGGACACCGGTTTAGTCCTGTCGAGTCCTGTTCAATCCCGTCCCGTTTGATTCTGTCTAATCCCGCTCAATGTCGCAGTGACCTTTGGTGCGGGCCCAGAGGGGTCCTCTCCAGTGCCCCCATGGCTCGCGCGCTCCAGAGGTCACTCATGCCTGGGGCCATTCTTGTGTGCAGCTGTCTTCAGTCTCGCTCAATCTGGCTAGAGTCTGGACCAGTCCGGTCGAAGGGCCCTCCAATCCAGGAGGCCAAAGTCGAGGAACAACAACGTCGGTTGAGATCTGGACGACCGTCGGCGTCGTCGGTCGTCGTCGCACATGACCGTGACCCGCAGACCCCTCAGCCACAAGCTTTCAGCTCGCAAGGAACGGCGCATCGCACAGGCAGCCGCCACGACACGAGAAGCAACAGCTCCTGTTCGCTAGCGGAACCGATACAGGTACTCCCCAGATCTCCCCTGGGGCGCACTCTGACTAGAATGTCGTGGAGAATCCAGCCGGTGCGACGAGAACTCTCCAGGATGAGCAGCGATATCGGTACCCTTGGCATCGGACATCGCCATTTGTTCACAGTGCGGCCCCATGCATCGACGGGATTTGTTTTTGATGTTCCCGGAGCCCGATGACGGGCCCTGGAGGCCAGAATCGAGGAGGAACGTCCAGATGGAACATAAAACATATCGTCGGAGATCTGGATTTCTGGGACGGGCTGCGGAATCGGTGCCTCTTCCTCCTCCGAGTGAGCCTCTAGGCCTCCCAAACGGGGTCCGAGTAGATGAGGTCGGAGGATCGTTCCGCATCGCCGATGTATCGCCTCTGCGGCTCGATGTGGAGCTCGATGTTCTCCACGCCGACGGCGCCGATGCACCGCCGACGTCGACGATTCATAGCCGCTGCATTAGCGATGTATCGGCGATGCGGCACGGACCCCATCTGCTCGGACCCCCCTCTTAGAAGGCCTCTAGGCACCTCTTCCTCCCCCGAGTAAGTCGCGGAGCGCATCGGCGAGAGGACCTTTGCTTGCTCCTGTGGGCCTGCTCCCGCCACGGCTACGTGGGCAAGCGCTGCGCCGAGGCCGCCTCGCTTGGTCGGCCGCGGACCCGCCGGCCGCCGCCGCCGCCCCTGGCTGTCGCCCTCCTCGTCCTCGTCCGCCGCTGTCCCCCCTGGCTGTCGTCCTCTCTCGCCCTGCCGCATCCTCCCTTCCCCCTCCTCCTCCTCTCGCTCCTCCTCCTTCCCCTCCTCCTCGATCCTCTCTCCTTACTCCCTATCTCTCTCTCTCTCTCTCTCTCTCTCCTCTTTCCTCGTCTCTCCTCCGCTCTCCTCCTCCTCCTCCTCCTCCTCCTCGATCCTCTCTCCTAATCCTCCTCTTCCTCCTCTTCCTCCTCCTCCTCCTCCTCCTTCTCTTCCTCCCCCTCCTCCTCTATCCTCTCTCCTCCTCCTCCTCCTCCTCCTCCTCCTCCTCCTCGTCCTCCTCCTCGTCATCATCCTCATCCTCATCCTCGTCCTCATCCTCATCCTCATCCTCATCATCCTCCTCCCTCCCTCCCTTCCTCCCACCCTCCCTCCCTCACTCCCTCCCTCCCTTACTCCACCTCGTTTCCTCCTCCTCCTCTGCCTTCTCCTCCTCCTCCTCTTCTCACGCTCTCTCGTCTCTCCTCCTCTCGCTTGTTTCCTGCTGTGCTCCCTCCTCCCGCTCGCTCCGCCCTCATAGTTCCTTCTCCTCAGCGTTCCTCCTCGCGCTACTCCTCGTCCTTCGCCTTCCTCCTCCTCCTCCCCCTCCTCCTCCTCTTTCATCGCCTCTCCCTCTTGCTCTCTTCAACGCACCTCCGACGATAGTCCGCGATTGATCCTGCTCCTCCTCCCGCCTCTCCTTTTCCCTCCCTCTCGCAAAGCCCGCGTCCTACTAAATGCCTCCCCCCCTCTTCCTCCTCCCCTCTCCTCTGCTCGCCTTCTCTGTTCTTCAATCTCCTAGTCTCCCTCCTTTCCAGGAGCAGGACGAACAGAGCGGATGTGGGGAGGGGCAGGACAGAGCAAGCGAGTGAGGAAGAGGGAGAAGGACGGGGAGGAGCAGCAGCAGTAGCAGCAGCAGGTGCAGCATGAGGAAGATATGGACGAGAGAACAGGAGGAGGGTGAACGAGGGGGGAGTAGGAGGAGGAGGAGAAGGAGGAATAGGAGGAGAGATACATGGAAGGGGGAAATAAAGGGGATATTCCCAGGGGTGAAGGAGGGGGCGGGGGAGGAGGAGGAGGAGGAGGAGGAGGAGGGGGAGGGGGGGGGAGCCTGAGGATAAACTCTTTCAAACAAGTGTCAGCAGTGATACATGGATACATGAACTTGGACATGCAGAGGCAGGCACCTTTCGCGGAATAACACCTCAAGGTAATGGAAACGGTATTGCAGGGTTGGATGGCCATTGACGTTTAGCAGTGCCATGCCACCCTGCAACGGGGGTGGGATAGAGGAGGATGCTGGATTATGATGTGCGTCAGGGGCTCGAAACCGAACAGCTGTGGGGAACGAAGTCTACCCTGCCCCCAGGCCTCCGGGGCGACAATATTCAGCTTTGCAGCAGCATGCGCCACTGTGGTGCTGCAGCGGGACGTCTCGGCGCCGTGTCTACAAAACGTCTGTTCCATTGCCAGTTTCCTTGCATGAGCTGTCCCCAGCAGCGCTGTAGGTGATACGGATGATGCTGATGATGCTGATGGTGATGATGAGGTTGATGGTGCATATGCTGCTGCTGATGATGCATATTATTCTAACGTTGCTGATGATGGTCATGCTGATCATGGTAATGATGATGCTGATGATGACGATGATGATCATGACGCCTAAGATGTGCTGATGATGATGAGGAGGATGCGGATGAGGATGATGCTGCTAATGATGCTGATGGTGATGGTGATAGTGACGGTGATGATGATGTTGCTGATGATGAAGATGGTGATGGTGATGGTGATGGTGCTGATGATGGTGATGGTGATGCCGATGCTGATGAGTATGCTGCTGATGATAGTGATGTCGGTGATGATGGTGACGACGATGACGATGCTGATGATAGCTGTGATGGTGATTGTAATGATCACAATGGTGATGGTGATGACGATGGCGATAACGATGATGATGCTAATTATGATGCTGATGATGCTGATGATGATGATGATGATGATGATGATGATGACTATGATGAGGGCGATAATGGTGATGCTGATGATGGTGGTGATGGTGATGTTGTTGATGATGATGGTTGTGATCGTGGGGATTTGTTCCTGCTTCGCACTCGGCCAACGGCAGCCGCTGTTGCTGTTGCCCGTTTCCGCGCACCGACAGGCAACGCTGTCAGTGCATGTCGTCTCGTAGCTGTCATTGCCGGCCTTCTCGCACGATCTGCCCCCAGCAGCATCGTAGTTGATGGTATGCTGCTCCTGCGTCACCCTCGGTCGACGACCACCACTGCTGCCAATGCCTCTTTTATCATTGCTGCCACTGTCTCCGTTCTCGCACCGGCAGCCCAAGTTTGTCGCACGAGTTGGCCCCAGCCTCATTGTAGCGGATGGTGTTTGTTGAGTCTGTTTCGCGCTCACATTTTCGTCCAGGCAGATCAACCGAATGAGTCGGAGACAGCACTTGCCCCTTGTTTTCTCTGCTCTCCTGCCAGGTCTGCGCCCAGAATAGTTGCCACTGCCCGTCGTGTCGCACGAGCTGGCCTCCACAGCATCGTCGTTGACGACTTGTTGCTCCTGTTTCACCTCGGCCGACGACAACTGCTGCTGCCACTGCTTGCTTGTGCGCAACGCCATCCACTGCCTGTCTTCGCGCACGAGTGGATCCCTGCGTTGTAGTTGATGGTGCGTTGCATTTGACTTCCTGTCGCACTGCCAACGCCTTCTGCCACTGCTTGCCCTCCTCGGTTGACGCAGCCCCTTGCCACAGCCTGCCGGCTGGCACGAGCTGCTCGCTCGGTCTGGCGCCTCCCGCACGAATTGCTTCCAGCAGTGCAGCTGACGACATTAACTCGCGAGTTCTCACCCCCACTTGAACTTGTCCCAGCCCTGTTGCTGGGACGTTGGCACGCGCGGGCTCGCCTTCATAGCATGGCCGCCCCCCAGAGCTGTAGCTGATAATGTCGGCCCGCGCACGGCTTCTCGCATTGACACTGCCGAATGCCAGTGCTGGCTTTTCTCTCGTGGACAGTGCGTGTTGCCACTGTCTGGTTTTGCGCACGAGCTGACCCCATCGCTGTAGCTGATGGCTTGCCTCTGCGTGCATGCAATGACCAAGGATGCTGCCACTGACTGGTCGTCCTTGTTCGCACGGGCCTCATCGCCTGTCACTGTGTGTTTTCTCGCGCCAGCTCGCCCCAGTGTTGTAACTGGTGCTGCCGTTCCATGCCTACACTGGTGCAGCAGCGCCGCGATGGCTGGCACTGCTGCTCGCCAGGATGGCGAGGGGAAGGCCGATGAGGAGGGGGAGGAGCGGGGGGAAGCGGATGAGGAGGAGGAGGAGGAGGAGGAGGAGGAGGAGGAGGAGAAGGAGGAGAGAAGAGGAAAGGAGGAGGCGGATGGACGGACGTGGAGGAGTACAAGGAAAAGTGAGAGGAGGGGCAGGACAGAACAGGAGAAGTGGGATGAGTAGGATGACGACGAAAGTAAGAGGAAAAGATGGGGGAGGAGGAGCTGACACGGCTTCGTCTGAAGACACCAACGCCGACAGGAATCAGGAATCAGAAGTAAGAGGAGGAAGATGAGCGCGAGGTCTGCTTGCACGCATACTTGCGAAGCCCAACCGATGCATATGTAGCCACGGGTATGGGACCCACCCACCACTCCTCGGGCGAAACGAGGGTGGAACATGGCTTCGCGCCGCCGCCAAGATCTACCCCACGGAGCTCAACAAGCTATTGGCATCCTCGCTATCCGAGGCCATCCGACAGAGATGGACATCCCCGCCAACTACCGATGAATGGATCTTCGAGGACAGCCATGCGGCCTTCTACATACCACTCGGCCCGTACTTCGAATTCAAGCGCTGCACGGATTGCATCGGCACGTCTCCTACGCCTCCTGCGTCATGGAGGCCATGGGGCGCCTCCTTTGCGACATCAAAATTGAGAACAGCGTCGCCATACCTTGGACCTTCGACTGATCGGGAGTAACTCTTCAACTGTGCGGCCCACGTAACCGTAACTCGGGACATGTCCTTTGATAGGCTTTACCTCAAAGAGCAACTAAGCTACGTCTACCAGGTGTTCTCGTACGCCTGACTCGAGAGGAGGCTAGCCCCTCAGCCGATTGCCACCGAAAGGAACCAAATGCAGACAAAAGCGTCCAGGCCACCGCCAAGCCCACATCATCACCCCCTCCCCTCCAAATGCATACGACGTAGACATATGGCTCCAGGAACGGGAGACGATTATGTGCAGAATCCGCCCCTCGAGCACCACAATTCGTCATGGAATAGCTTGCGATGGAGCCGGCCGTTGACCTAGCACGGGATCGACAATTGGGCAGCAGCATTGAACCATGCACCGCTACCATCGACTACAAGATCGTCAACTCAATTCCGAAGATCACGTTCGCGCGCCACCTTCAACATCTCTGACAAAAGACCTGTCGGCAGGAAACGCGGAACTAGTAGAGCAGCTCTTGCAGCATGGGCACAGCGACAATGCCCATGCTCTGGCGGCCGAGCTCCAACATGACGACCTGCCAAGGTTAGAAACAGCGCTTTCTGTGGTCGCTTGGAGGGGGGGGGTTTGGAACCGGACCCCCCCCCCCCTCCCGTGACGGAGGGGTGGGGAGGGGGTTCGAACCTTCCCCCCTTTCATCCCCCCTCTGCTTCCCCTCTCCTCGGGCCGGCGATTGCGTCGGCGACGGCTGGCGGCGGCGGCGGGGACGACGATTTCCTTGTCTGGGCCGGCGCCGACGCCTTCGGCGGCGGGCGGCGGCCGCGGGGAGCGTCGACGAGGACGACGGTGGTGGTGGTGGTGGGTTGTGGTGGTGGTGGTGGCGGTGGTGGTGGTGGTTGTGGTGGTGGCGGTGTGGTGGTTCGTCGTGGTGGTGGTGGTTGTGGTGGTGGGTGATGGTGGTGGTTTGGTGGTGGTGTGGTTGTGGTTTGTGGTGGTGGTGGTGGTGGTGGGTTGTGGTGGTGGTGGTGGCTTGGAAGTGGTGTGGTGGTGGTTCTTGGTGGTGGTGGTGGCGGTGGTTTGTGGAGGTGGTGCTGGTGCTGGTGCTGGCGGTGGTGGTGGTGGTGCTGGTGGTGTGGTGGTGTTGTGGTGGTGGGTTACGCTGCTGGTAGTAGTGGTGGTTGTGGCGGTGGTGGTGGTGGTGGTGTGGTACATTAGGTTGGTGGTGGTGGTAGTGGTGGTCGGTTTTTGTTGTGGTTTGGTGATGGTGAGTTGTGGTGGTGGTTGTGGTGGTGTAGTGGTGGTGTGGTGGCGGTTTGTGTTGGTGGTGGTAGTGGTGTGTTGTGGTGGTGGCGGTGGTTTGTGGAGGTGGTGCTGGTGGTGTTGGTGGTGGTAGTGGTGGTGGTGGTGTGGTGGTTTGTGATGGTGGCGGTGGGTTGTGCTGCTGGTAGTGGTGGTGGTTATGGCGGTGGTGGTGGTAGTGTTGTGGTAGACTGGTGGTGGTGGTAGTGGTGGTGGGTTTTTGTGGTAGTGGTGGTGGTGGGGATGGTGAGTCGTGGTGGTGGTGGTGGTAGTGGTGGTTGTGGTGGTGGTGGTGGCTGTGGTGGAGGTGGTGGTGGTTGTGTGGTGGTTGTGTGGTGGCGGAGGTGGTTTGGTTGAGGCGGCGGTGGTGGTGGTAGTGGTGAAGGGGTTGTTGTGGTGTAGTCGTCGCTGCGTTCCCGCCGGCGCCGGCGCCAGCGCCGGCGCTGCTGGTCGCCGCCAGCGCCAACGCCGGCGGCGCCAGGGGGGGGGGTCCCCCCCCCCCCTGGCGGCGCTAGGGAGGGGGGGGAGGGCGGCGGTGGTTTGTGGAGGTTGTGCGGTGGTGGTGGTGGTGGCGGCGGTGCTGGTGTTGCTGGTGGTGTGGTGGTTTGTTGTTTTGGCGGTAGGTTGTGCTGGTGGTGGTGGTGGTGGTGGTTGTGGCGGCGGTGGTGGTGGTGGTGTGGTAGATTGTGGTGCTGGTGGTAGTGCTGGTGGGTTTTTGTGGTGGTGGTGGTGGTGATGGTGAGTTGTGGTGGTGGTGGTGGTGGTGATTGTGGCTGTGGTGGCTGTGGTGGTTGTGGTTGTGTGGTGGGTTGGTGGTGGTGGTGGTTGGTTGAGGCGGTGGTGGTGGTGGTAGTGGTGGTGGTGGTGGTAGCGGTGGTAATCGTCGCTTGGTCGCCGCCGTCGCCGGCGCCAGCGCCGGCGCTGCTGGCCGCGCCAGCGCTGGCGCCAGGGGGGGGTTCACCCCCCCCCCCTTGGCGCTAGGGAGGGGGGGGACCCCCCCCCCCTCCCTTGGACTGCCTCTGGTCATCGTTGCTGCGATCCCGCCGTCGGCACTGCTGGCAGCCGCCAGCGCCAGCGCCGGCGCCTTCGCTGAGGGGCCAGGGAGGAGGGGGTTGAACCCCCCCCAGCCTTGGGAGGGGGGGCGGGGGGGGTTCGGGAGGGGGGGGTGGGGGGGGAGGGGGTTACCCCCTGGTTCGAAACGCGCCGCCGAATGTTCCCAAGACAAACGCCCGTGAAACGCGTTCTTTCCAAGGTTACTACATGGTCAAAACTTGCGACTTGGAACCGAGATGCTGGATTCCAGGCCGCCATCGACCCACGACTCGACCCCGGTTTCGCTACAGCACCAGCACGTGCCCCCGATCTAGCATGAGAAGGCATTCAGTCTGAGACCCTGACGAAGGAGTACACCCACGCTTCCGTGGAGGCCGGACAAGTCTACATCCCAACCAACACACACCAAGGGGATGGACGAAGACCTTGCACCCGCACCACTACACGCTCGCTTGCCTGGCCGCCACCATCTAGCCATGGAAGGTGTCCACCGCAGAAACGGCCAGGACAGCAATACACGAGTTGTTCGACAGGAGCCGCATCAGCCCCAACATCGACCGGATGGACCTATACTACACAGCAAGACCGACCCACATACAATTTTACAGGAAGGCCATATGTGCACGTGCCGACGAAGACGGCCAACCCGTATCTACACACAGTCGCGGTGCACAAGAGGGCAGAATTCCAAGACGCTGGGCGCAAGGCAATCCGCTCGCAGCGCCGCGGCGTCACGTGCATCCTCTACGCGATAGATCAGAACAGCAACGTCCTGGAACAGAGCGAGGTCATACCCCTCCTTTTTTTGCAGGACCAACACTCTCGCCACCATGGGGGCCAAAGGTATGCACCCACGCGGGGACAACTTACTCTTCGAGAGAAACAATCTGCATGGCGCCCCAGTCCAGAGCAGGCCTCCGCGCGGAGGAGGGGGAACGCAATGGCAACCTAGTCCCAATGGCCGAGGTCACCGACAGCGCGAAGTACAGGGCGCCCTTCAATCACTACAACGAGATCCAGGAGAGTTGCGGAATACATTTCGCCCCCCCTCACCCCTTCTCAAACGGCATCGGGGTTGGCCTGAGTTTGAAAGCGTACCATGCCACCCTCCAGCCGACGTCACCTGCGACGGCGGGACCGTAGGCCACCGCGTCACAACCAACTGGCTGCCACAGCTGGAGGCGACCAGGATCTCGCGACCGCCGCACCGCGAGCTGGACCCATGGGTAGAGTTGTCTGCGGCTGCATGGGGACCTTGGTCGCCGACGTCCAGAACCTGATGTCGCACATCGTGTCCGACATCCGTCAAGAAGGACTGTGCATGCTGGACAGAATGAGGACATTCTATGATGCTACCCAAGAAAACGACTACCAGGCGGAGATCTAGCTCAACGGGCTTGCAACGCGCATCCCCACCAGCACATTATCCCAGTCCACAATATCGCTCAGCGTGCACACGAGCGGCCACGACGTGGGTCAGCTACCCCCGCGATCCCCACGAACAACCAACAGCGATGGTCGGTTCCCCTCGTTGCAATTTCTGATCAGGGCCATCTTGGCGTCCCTTGGGGGACAGGTGGTCTTCGGAGACAACAGAGGGCCTCTGGAGGTCCATGATCGACGCAGTGCGTGAGGAGTGTGCCGAATCGAAGTTTCCCTGAACCGTCGGAGGGCCCTTGGGAGTCCAGGAGGCACGAAGTGCGTAAGGAGTGTGCCGAATTGAGGCACACTTCAGCCTGCTTGAGGGCCAGCGGATCGCCCCTGGAGGTTCCTGGGGCACGAAATGCGTGAAGCGTGAAGGGCGTGCCAAATTGAGGCCTCAAGCACCAGTCTTTGGGGCCAGCCGAGATCCCATGACACGAGGTGCGTGAGGGGTCTGCCGAATTGAGGCTTCTGCGAGAATTGGTTTGCGACCCCCTCGTGCTGCACGTGTCTCAGAGGCCTGGGGGCGCAGGAAATGCCTGAGGAGCCCGCTGAAACGAGGCTTTCGCAGCACTGATGGCGCTGTCACGCGCGTGGGCCTAGCGCTGGAGCGTTTTTTCCTTGTGTTTTCACGTGCCCCCAGGAGAATTGGGGAATAATCTGCCATTTTGAGGCAGGGAACATGTGCAAGGCCGCTCCTAGCATGCCGTAGACGTGCTTCCCACTCTCCTCCGTCATCCTCCATTGCATCATCTAGCCTCGACGCCTAACACGTCAGGGGTTCCTGGGGGGCCCGCCGAATTTAACCGCTTCGCTCAGTCCGCCGGCCTATACTCTATGTAGTGTTTAAGTGGCCTTCGGCCAAACTGGCACGTGGACAAGTAGCCCGCTTGTTGGTCTCTATTGGGAGATCTCTCGAGGGCCTCGTGGTGGCATTTTGGGGCCTCTCGGGGGCCTCTTGGGGCATGGGGGGTATCTTGGTGGCCTCCGATGGTTTCTTGGGGGCCCTTTGGCCTTTGGGGTATGCTTGCTGTCTCCGGGGCCGTTTTCAGGGAAAGAGCTCCAAATGGCACTACGGATTAGTTGTTGGCGTAGTTGTGTAGGGTCTGCTGCACTTTGGCTTGGCCTCGCGGTTTGGACCACCCCTTCCGGAACGACCTTTTCCATTATACGCTCGCCGAAGCTCCCGCCCAGGCCGGGCGGTGGCATGCCAGAGTTTGTGTTGAGTGCATTCCCTCTTTGCCTCCTGGGTTCCTAATTCGGCGATCCGCCCACGTGAGTCTGAGGCGAGCGGCTGGGCAGGGCGGGCGGCCTTGAAGACGCGCCTTCTAGAGCCCTCATGTGAGCCTCTGGAGGGCCTCTTGGGCCGTAATGGGGCCCGCTTGGGCCGTCCTGGGGCCGTCCGCTTGGGCCGTCCAGGGGGCCTTTTAGGGCGTCTTGGGGCAATGTGGGGGGCCTTATGGGCCTCTTGGGTCATGGGAAGCCCGAAAAGGCGTGACTCCCAAATTCTTCCAAAACAAAGGGTTAGATGGCCAGCTCATTCAATATGCAATGTGACCCCACGACCTCAGTGATTCTTGGACACGACAAAGCAGTTGTCGTCAGTTGTTACGGCTTCGGCTTCGATCCTGGTGCAGTTTGTTGCTCTTCGTTTCGGTCAACCGTTTTTGTTACCGTCTTCATTTTCAAAATCAAACTTCTTGGAAAAGGCACAGAACACTTGCCTTGTCGCGTCCAAGATTCAGTGAGGGCGGGACCAGGGCAACACGAATTGAGGGCTCCAGCCCGCCGCGCAGGCCACCCGAGGGCCCTGCTCTCCGCGGTAGCGCGCGCCACCCTCGCCTCGCCCCGCAAGGCGGCCGTGAGGGAGTTCCAGCGGCGCGACCTCTCGCGCATGGCCGTGGTGGATGTGTGCATGGCCTCGCAGGAATCTGTTTTGGGGGGTCTGGCGATCGCCCGGGTTATCGGGCCCATCCGCTCCCCCTAAGTTGATGGTCAAGACGCTGGGGGCGTTTTCCTACGATTTTCAACTTTACGGTGTACGGAATGGGACCGTAAACGGCGCGAACGAGAATCCCGAGATGGGAAAGTAAGCACCACAATTAAAAAGCAAACACTTCGTGTTTGACAGCAGGGGGAAAGCCCAGCGTTTTTGACATCATCTAAGGCCCCCCCCAGATAATCTGGCCTTATCGGTTGTGCAGGTCCGAGGGGGGTACGCAGTGTTGGTGCGCGCGGGCATGCGTGGAGCGTCTCCAATCGAAAAGGTTATGCTGTCGGCCGACACCTCCTCCCGACCCCTCCCATTCATGGCGAAACACATCTCCGTATCCGCGGCCTCGCGGGCCGGGCCCCTTGCGGCGACTCCGCGGATATGGGGCGTTTTCTCGCGAACGCCGCGCGCGGAACGCATCTGGTGGATCCCGCCCTGGAATCCAGACCCCGAGGGTGCGGGTACGCATATGTTCACCGCTCTTGGAGGGGAGGGGGGGCGCGGAACCGGTCACGGTCGTTATCGCGAATAATGCAAATTGAGCGCCCCGAGAGGCCGAAAACGATATTCAGATGTCCGTCCCGATTTTTTCGGGACGCTGGACGTCGCTGGGGCTATCGCCGAACAAATAAGAGGCCCTGGAATCCAGACCTCGAGGGCGCGGGCACGGATGTGTTCGCCCCTCTTGAGGGGGGAAGGGCTGGGGGGCCAGGCCCGGTCACGGGCGTTACGGTTGGGGCGTCCGTTGAGGCATGTGCCTCAGCGGACGCTGGCAAAGGTACGCTTGGAGTCCCACAGGTTGCAGTCCTTATCCCACAAATCCTCTTCCAGCGCCCTCGCCGAACCGCGAAGCATGAAACACTGCCTCGCAGGCGCTGGCGAAGCTCGGCCCGAGCGCGAAGGCCGCGCCCTCCTTGCTCGCCCCCCGCTGCGGCTGGGCTCGCGGCGCCGGTCGCCGCCGCCGCCGCTCGCCGCGTGCGGCTCCCAGCCGTCTCGTGCGCAGTGCCCACCTGAGCAGCTGATGCAAGCTTGTCTGTACAGAACGGGGGTGGGGGCGTTCGCAATTCGAGGTGCTGAGACGGATTTCTCGGGATGCGTTCCAGCAGCTGCGCCTCGTCGAAGGCTTCCCGAGCCTGCCCGGATCGGTCCTGAACGGCCGCCAGAGCTTCGAGTTACGACACGACAACCAAACACCCTCGCGTCGTGAAAAGATCTCGACGGATGGTTTTTGGCCGCTTTCGGCCTCTGGGAGCCCTCGCCGGGACCGGCCTTGGGGAAAGGGTCGGGGCTTCTGGGACCCCGTGCCGAAAAAGTAAAGGCATCTAGCGTCCGGCACAGTCGAGTTTCATTGGAGAAGACACGCGACAGGGCACAAGACCCTTTCGAGGGCAACATTGCCATAGGAATGTAGAAGGCATGGGTCGCGAATCACAGGACACAATAGTAACCTTGATTTAGCAGGGTCGACCTACTAATCCAACTCGTTTGTACAATTCTTCTAACGCCTGGTGGGGGGCGCCGGACACCCGAGATCGGTGGCTCGTCATTGCCCCCCATCGTGGCCCCATCCTGGGCCGCCGAGATCGGTGGCTCGTCGTTGCCCCCCCCATCGTTGTCCCCCCCCCCGTCGTAGCCTCGCAGTGTAACTGTGTAAAGCTGTTTATGGTCCTCTGTCGCAGCGGTGCCAGTTTTTCCCAAACACCGTGTGGTATTGGGTCCTCGCTCGTGTTGGCTCAGCTGCGCCCCGCGTCTCCTCATCTTCTCTCCCTCCTCCCGCCCTCATGCCTCTGATCTCCGCATGTTCATGTTTGCACTCCGCTCACACGCTTCGTAGCCCCATACGAGCTCCACAAACATATCAAATGGCAAAGTTCACACACCTCTCACGCGCCTCTTGGCCCCACAGGGAGCTTCTCCGAAGGCACACATGGCAACGTCCGCATGCGACCACCTCACCCATGTCGGAACACCCTTTGCACGTTTCTGGTCAGATCGGTCGTTCCATAGCAAGCCAAGATGGCAAAGTCCGCATGCCTCCACCGCACCTCACATGTTTCGCGGCCACATAGGTAGCTCCACCGAAGGCCTTAATGGCAAAATCAGCATGCGACCACTGCACCTATTTCGGCACGCCCTTCACACGTTTCGCTGCCAAGTAAGCAACCCCACAGAAGGCCCAAATGGCCCGCCTGTCACCTCCGCATCCATGTCGGCACACCTCCCTCACGGAGGTCCGTCACAGGCAGAGATGGAAAAGGCCTCATGCCCGCAACTCACCCTCTCGGAACACTTCTCGCACACTTCGTGGCTCCAGGGAGGGGGAGTTCCTCGGAAGGTCCCTGTGCGAGCGTCCGCATGCCACTGCGCACGTCCCGTGGCCCCGCAGGGAGCTCCACCAATGGCCCTGGTGGGAGGGTCCGCGCGCTGCCCTGCCCATTTCGGTACACTACTCACGCGTCACGTGGCCCTACAGGGAGGTCCACCGAGAGCCCCACGGGTGAATGCCACATGCGCCGCCCCGCACATGTCGGATACAAATTTTGCCTGCACCGGCTCCCCCCCAGTGCTTCCTTCAGGATCGATGTTTGGCGGCCCCATGGCCCGAGGCGAGGCCGCAACCGAGCACGAGCCTCGACTCGAGCCTCGAGTTTTCGAACCTCAGGCCCGAGTCGACCGGTATTTCTTTTGATTGGGGGCTCTTCCGATTGCGGGTCGCTCGTTCGTCCGCCCGTTCGTTCGCTCGACCCACTGCCCCCCCCCTGGGGCCCCCGGAGAGGCGGCGCTGTGCCTCGTCGCGGGGGAGGCCTTCAGCCGGCAGCTGCACGGGTTCTCGACCAGGGACAAGGCAGGCCCTCGGCCGACCAGCCGCCGACCGGCCGCGGGCGGCCTCGAGGGCGTCGATGCTCGAGGGCCCGCCCGAGGGGCAGGCAGGGCTTTTCGTCCGCCCATGGTCTGCCAGGCCCCCCCCCTCTGTCTGAAACCTCCTCCTCCTCCTCCTCTTCGTCCTCCTCCTCATTCTCTGGACCCGCAGGTCCCCCTGTACATCAACCCTGACCGTTCTCCACGCACTCAGCGGATGGAGTTGCAGACCAAGCGCTTGGCCCAGACCCTGGAATGCAACTGCGGCCAGCTTGATTTTTGGGCCAACCGCAGCAAGGGCGAGGTCAATGTCGCCCGCATGCCGATCGGCAGGGTCATCGTCCCGAACGTCCCCAACGAACCTCCAAGATCGAGTGGAAGCGCCCCGAGGCGCACTGTCTCGGCATCGACTGCGGCCTTATTGACGCGGAGTTCCACAAGCTCTTCCGAGACCAGGGTTCCGACGTGCCGGTGTCCTAGCCAGTGCGGGGCCCCCTGGGCGGACGCGTGCAGCCCCCTGACTGTGGTGACTCGGAATGCACGTAGCCTATTTTGCCCCTCCTGTGGTAAACGGAGGCGCAAGCAAGCTGCGCTGCAGAAAATCCAGCAGAAAAGGTGCGGTGGTCACGGTCCAGGAGGCCCACGGCGATGAGGAGCAGCTCAGGGCATGGCTCTCGAGCCTGCCGCTTCGATAAACCTTCTTTTCCTCGGGCTGTGCCAACAGCACTCGTGCTGGCGGCTTGGCCTTCTTGGTCCCGACGGGTATCTTCCAGGCCCCCGTCGAGGACCACATGTGGATGGACGTGATCGTTCCTTGTCGCGTCGCGGCCCTCCATGGCGAAGCATCCGGCCACGGTCAACGAGGACCAGCCGGCGTCGTCAACCTACACTCGCTTGTCGTTAGTCGCGCCTCCGCCAGCTGACGCACCCGCAGTAATGCAGCCTGGCCGGCCTCAGCCTGCGGCCGCGCCCCCTTCCGCCTGTCCAGAGTCGCCGGTATGTTCACGCTGATCCTCGCCTGTGCGCTCCGAGTGCACAGGGCGACCAGGCATGGCGCAATCTGCCGGGCATTCTGCGGCATCTTCCAGTCCACGCTCTCCAACGACAATTTCTTCGGGTCCGACAGGTGCGTCGCCCACATCATTTTCATCATCACGATTACCACCCACTTCAACGTCAACTCCTCGTTCGGGCGCCCAGGATGACTGCTTAGGTCGCCACGCTGGCCGCTGCCGCCTCGTGGCTGCCCTCCGGGCATTACCTCAGCCCTCACGCTGCTAAGCATCCACAACTACGACCTGACGCTCCACGATTCCACGATCGGCGCCGCCTGGCCGGCGAAGTGAAAAAGTATCGTGTTTGGGCGTCCGCGTCGCCGCAGCAACGGCTGGTGGTTGTTGGGTGGGACCTCAATTTCAACGACGGCGCACACTTAACTTATAAGGACCCTCAGCGGACTCGGCAGCAAGAGGCTCGCCGTGACCATGTCACGTCGCACCCTGGTTCTGGCAGCAGCTGCTCGGCCGCTTCATGGTGGTCAAGATCAACTCCCCAGCGCATTATGACGCACTCCGACTTAACTCCTCGACAGTGGACCTGCTCTACGTCTCGGTGCCGCCCGAGGCCGTTTTTGGCACCTCCATGCGCGCCTACCTCGCCTCAGACCCGGCCGCACTTTCCGACAGGAAGCTCAGTGACCACGGCATCATCGTATTGGAGCTGTCCAGCGCCAAGGCTCCCGGACGACGAGATTGCCCCATACCCCAATGGATCTGCAAGGAGCCGCTCTTCGCCACCACAGTCACCAAGGTACCAAGGTGGTGGCCGTCTCCCGGAAGCCCGAGGACCCGATCAAGGCGTGGACGATCACGAACGCCAACATCTTGGTTGCCGCCCGCGCCACGCGTAACGTGTTCACCCGGGAGTCGGATTGAGCACCAGGGCGTCTTATCCAGACGCACGTCTGCTCGTCCTGCGCGTTGCAGCCCGCGCGCATTGGCGTGAGGACAGCCGCACGCTCAGCGTCTTGGTAAATTCTGCCTCGCTGCTGGCAGATTTCTTCACGGTCTCCGAGGCAAGCGCCGCTCTCTCTGACCAGGCGGGCTTCGCTGCTGCGATCCGCGTGGCGGCCTTCGCCGTGCTCGAGCGGGACCGCCAGGCTGCCATGACGAACTCATCCACGGCGCTGCAGCGCGGTACCCAGGCATGGGGCCTTCTGGAAAGGCAGGGCTGTGCGAGCCGCTCAGAAGGCCCGGCTCTGGCGCCCTTTCCAGAGTGTCCAGGTCTTAGCGGGCTTCCTCCAGCCATCGACGCCGCCAGCCGACGCGCCCCCCGCAGGTGCTGCTGCTCCCCGCCGCTGGCCCCTCCCGCGGCACCAGGAGTGGTTCGCGACCCCGATGGCATGGCCGCAACCGTGCGCGCCCACTTGGAGCCGATTTTCGCGGCCAAGGCGGTGCCAAGTGCCAAGTGACAGGATTCATGATTACCTCCAGTGCCACTTCCCCCGCCTCCCTGACACCCAGCTGCCGTTGCCGTTGCCGGACATTGAGGACGTGGAAAGAACAGCACGACGCGCCCGTCCCACGGCGGCAGGGCCCGACGGCTTTCCATGTGCGGCGTGGGCACAGGCCC